TACATTGAATTAACTCTTTACTACTTATTCTTGAATTAAACCAATGAATGTCAAAAAATAAATAAATAAAAGGGTTTAGGTTTGGCACCCACCCTACTCCAGTGATCCCATTAACATAAGAAAAGAAAACTCCTTTTTCCAAAGGTCACATTCACCAGTATAGAGGTTAGGATATAAACACATCTTGGCAGATTCTAGCTACCTTCAAAATAAAGATCCTCAGTGTGGCATACAAGGCCTTCCTGCCTCCTTTGTTTTCCACCTCTCAGGAACCACTCCTGCTGCCTGCCTTCCAATTATCTGAAAACATTTAGTAATAATTTGAACACGTTTTGTCGTTGTTCTAGCTGTTTCAAGCAAGAAGGTAAATCTGGTCTGTTAGTTCATTTTGGCCTAGAGCGGAAGTCTGTATTGCAGTCTAATTAGTATTTACTTATCCTTGTAACCTGAACCATTTTTTAATTATTAAAAAATCTTTATTATTTAAAGAAAGTCTGATAAATATACAAAGACAAAAATTGAAAGGTGCTGTTACCCAAAGAGAACTAGTATATCTCTTACTTAACGATTGATTCCATTAGTCTAAGACCACATTGGAGTCCTGGTGTGGTGCTATAGGCTAATGTGCTGGACTGCAAAGTTAGTCTGAACCGAAAGGTCCGCAGTTCGAGCTCACCAGCTGCTCCTCAGAAACCCTATGCAGGGTCATTATAAGTCAGAACCAACTGGATGGCACTTAACAACAACAACAACAAGACCACATTGTTTCACAGTCCCAGGGGTGTAGTTGGTGCTCAGTCCATGTTTGTAAGCTCACAAACCTTTTTCTATGCTCACAACAATTAACCTTTGTATTCATTATTTAACAAATATATATTGAGCAATGAAGGGACACTAAACACTCTCAAGGCAGTCTGCTCCCGTAGAGATATTTAGCCTCGGAATCCCTAAGGAGCAGTGTGTTGTTAGGTGCTGTAAGGGGGACTATGAACCAGAATCGATGGGATGCTAGTGGGCATGTTGAGCAGTGCCCTGGTTCATATGTACGTGGTAAACATTATTAAGGATTTCTACTGAAATCATTTCCTATGAAAGTAGTGCAAATCCGGTCCTTTAAAATATCCATTGCGGATATTTAATCCAAATATGCTTTGGTTTAAAGCATAGCCTGTTTGAATGAAATGTATTTTCAGGAAATTTTCCTCACATGTTAATTTTATTTAGCAAAGCCTTTTGACTGCATGGAATGAATGCTCAGATGAGTCTCTGTTGTTGTTGTTGTTGTTAAGTGCCGTCGAGTCGGTTCCGACCCATAGTGACCCTGTACAGGGTTTCCGAGGCTGTAAATCTTTACAGGAGCAGAAAGCCTCATCTTTCTCCCTCGGAACAGCTGGTAGTTTCGAACTGCTGACCTTGCAATTCACAGCCCGATTCGTAACCACTACGCTACCAGAGCTCCTGACAACAGAGTCTCTACCACCCTCAAAATCAAATCCAAAGGAGCTGTTCAGAGGACTGTTAACATCCCAGCCATGAGTTCTCCTTCCTCCTTAGCCCATCCTTTTTCCTATCTATGGGTTTCAGGCACATGCTCTATAGCCATGGAAAGTTTCACTTCTCCTGCTGTATTCTGAAATAGCAAACACAGTTCACAGAGGGAGAGCACATCCCACCATCACACGAGTCAGTGGATTCTGATGTTCAATTAGCCACCTGCTGCGCTGCTGTGCAACTTAGTTTAAGTTGTCTTGCAGGGGGCAGAGGTGTTCTAGAAGGAACCAAGAAAAACATTTTATCATGCTTTATTCCCAGTGCACATCTCTTCACATCCCCTCACCCCATGCTTTGGAGGCTGGCTTAGTGGATGGCGGTAACAGATACACATTTCTTCTCTCACAGCTTAGGAGGCTAGAAGTCTGAATCCAGAACACCGGTTCTGGAGAAAGGTCCTTCTTGTCTCCTTTCAGCCACTGTAGGCCCAGCATTCCTTGGGAGATCTCCATGTGTCTTGGTATCAATCGTTCCCTGGACCTAGGGGCTTCACCGTACAGGGACCCCAGGTCCAAAGGACATGTTGCAGCTCCAGCTCTTCTTTCTCGGTGGTCGGAGGGGCCTCTCATCTGCACTGACCTCTCTCTCCTTTTATCTCTTGTAAGTAAAAGCTATTGCAGGTCTCAGCCCTGAGAAACTCCCCAACACGGGATCCGAGATGTGATGGCATTAAGAGTGCTGCATCCCCTCCCCTTAATCTTTTTACTCATTGATCACATCTGATCACATCTCATAACTGCCACATGACATCATTACATAACTGCCAAACCATGGAGAATCATGACCCAGTCAAGCTGACACATATTTGGGGAGTGGGGTGGGGGACACAAGTTATGACACAGATGGTATGTTCTTAGTATTTTTTATGTTGGTGGTATTAGTTACTATAAAGTCTATTCTGACTCATGGCATTTTCACCTGCGCAGAGCTGAACTGCTCACAGGATTTTCAAGGCTGCATATCCTTTTGAGACTAGATCATCATGCCTATCTTCTGAGGTGCTTCTGGAAGGGTTCTAACCAACCTCTTGGCTACTAGTCAAGTGTCTTAACTGAGTTTACTACCCAGGACTCCTAGTGTTTCTGTAAGCATGAGGCACCACAGATTTTCTAACCAATCACACACTTGTGCAGAGCCAACACTGAAGGCAGTATTTTAAGCTACTCTGCTGAACATGGGGTTGAACCATTGAAGCTTGTAGCAGCTGGACAGGCCAGGGGGATCCAGAGCAGACAGGAGTCCGGCGATTCGTAGGAGCTAGAATTGAGGTGCTCACAGGTAGAGGTGACCAACTAGCCTATATTGAAATTTGGTTGCCACCTAGTCAAAAAATGGACTGGAAGTCAGTATCAGGAGCTTCATTTAAATATAAGAGAAAAAAATGTAAATTGGGCTAGTGACTATGATTGTGACCAGAACTTTATTAGAAGATGCAAAGCAGGTGGGAAAAGGGAGGTGGGCTGAGGAGTGCTTGAGCTGCCAGGAGAGGTGCACTGGCTAAGACAGGTTGATAAAGAATCATGGTTCAATTGTCAGAAGTCAGGTTGCTGTGCCGAGAAGCCAACTGGATAAACCAGCCAGAGAAGCCAGCCAGCTCAGATGCAACAGTAACATTCAACAGACGTTTACTGAGCACCTACATACTGGAGGTGTTTGTTTCTTTCATATGTAATGTAATGCACAGGAGTTCCTGGGTGGTGCCAACAATTAAGCAGGCACCAACTGTAAGGTTGGTGGTTTGAACTCTTCCAGAGGCTCCTCCAAAGAAAGGCCAAGAGCTCTGCTTCCCATAGATACACCACAGCCTTGAAAGCCCAGCGGAGCACAGAAGGTCACCATGAGTCAGAATTGACTTGATGGCAACTGATTTGTTGTTTTATTGTATTTAACGCACAGATGACTGAGGAGGTGCTGACACTTTCATCTTACTGATAAGGAAGCTAAGATCTGAGACATGACGTGGTGCCGTGTTCTTTCCTAGGGCTACAGAGGGTGATGTGTGTGCCACCACCTAGAAACTGACCCAGCAGGTTCCCTGACTAGGGAACCCAACAAGAATGTTAGCTCTTAATTTAAAAAAGAAAATAAATCTGTGCACAAGATAAAAATTTCAAACAATACTGGAGTCCTAGGCTGTACGGTTGGTTTGAATCACAAGGTCGGACATTCAAACTCACCAGCTGCTACTCAAAAACCCTATATACAGGGTCACTGCTGTGAGTTGGAACTGAATCGACGGCACTTAACAACAACAAGGTATAGAAAGGCACATTATATATTAGAATTAACACTGGACCACAAGGTCAATTTGCACTGCAAGGTCAGTGGTTCAAACCCATCAGCTGCTTCTTGGAAACTCTATTCAGGGTTGCTATGAGTCAGAACTGAATCAGTGGCACTTAACAACACTGAAAGGTGTCAGATGGAAAAGGTGTGTCTCCCTTCACCATCTCCATCTTAGTTCCACTCCCCTAGAGTGACAGCTCCTAGTCATCTATTCAGTGCTTACTATGCAGTGTAGCTTTGTGATCCTCAGTGACTTTTCACACAACAGATGGTACGGAGATTCAAAACTGTGTCATGTGAGGAAATAGTTGAGGGAACTAGAAATGTTTACTCTGGAAAAGAGAAGACTCAGCTGGGGACAGGAGTACCATCTGGAGAATGGTCATGTGACGATGTTCACGTGGTCCGTTAATCCATTGGGTTCATTGTTTCCATGTGTCTTTGATTTTCATCATTCTTCTTTCCTCTAGACAGGAAGAGACCAATAGTTGTACCTAGATCTAAGTATTGTTAACTGAAACCTTTTTCCTCTCTATGTGTGTGCACCTATATACAAGGCTTGCGATGTAAAATGCATTTCTTGTTTGAAGGAGCTTTGGTAGCATAGTGGTTACGAGTCTGGCTGCTAACCTCAGGGTCAGCAGTTTAAAACTACCAGTGGTTTCGCATGAGGAAGATGAGGCTTTCTGCTCCCGTAAAGATTTATAGCCTCGGAAACCCTATACAGGGTCACAATGGGTCAGAACCAACTTCACGGCACACCACCACCACCACCACTTGAGAGCTATTCATCTGAATGGCCACCAGGTTACCTTCTAGAACTTTGTGCAAAAGCTCTGTATAATAAGTCAGAGGCCCGGGTCCTTGCAGTACCCTTATTAGCAACTTGTTATCTCTCTTTGAACCTCAGTTTCTCCATTTGTGCAACAATGATGGTAGAACGGTCAAAGTCTAAAGGTTCTTCCAATTCCAGAATTGTTTACTCTAAAAACCTTCATTTATTCACCAAATACTGCTTGAGCAATGCCTCTGTGTGCCAGGCCCTGTTGTAGGTGTGGGATGGTGGTGGTGTTGTTAAGTACCGATGAGTCGGTTTCAATCCATAGGACCCTGTATAGGGTTTCTGAGGAGTGGCTGGTGAGCTTGAACTGTCGACCTTGCAGATCAAACCGACTTTGCAATACAGCACATTAACCCGCAGCACCACACCAAGACTCCAGGTGTGGGATACAGTAGTGAAAAAAAAACAGACAGAAAGCAAAGTCCCTGCTCCTCCCAGAGGAGTAACATGTGGTGACTGTGAGGCACCAGTAAGTATTTAGAAGGAAATGTAAACAGAGAAGAGGACTATGAAATACCAGAGAGAGGCAGACATTGTGGAGACAGTGGTCAGAGTGGTCTCACTGAGAAGGTGGCTATTGAGAAGAAGCCTGATAGAAATGAGACCAGTGGCCACGTGTATCTCGGGAAGAACCTTTCAGGCAGAAGGAACAGCAAATGGCAAAGGTTTTAAGGTGACAGAACATCAGGGGGGCCAATGTGGTTGGAGAGGAATGGGCAAAGGAGACACAGCGCAGACGATAAAGTCGGAGCGGTAACAAGGGGTCAGGGTGGGAGGGTCAGATAAAGGATGAGAACAGAGTTCTTTAAAGCTGCCTTCAATCCGGTCTGTAAATGGTGACTTGTCATTCCTGTCAGCACCCAGTTATGAGGATCAAATGAGATGAGAATGTGCTCTCAAAACAGATCCAATCCAACTATTAAGGATTTACAACAAGTATTCCTATTAAGTATAAAGTACTAATTTGTGGATCACTTTGAATGGAGCAAGCCCGGTGACTATACCAGAATGCTAGCTCTCTCTCTCCCAGATCCTCCCCAAGCCACCCCTCATGCCAAGTGTCTAAGGTTTCTTGCTTTTGATCTAGAAATTCCATCACCCAAAGCTAAGTATTCTTCGTCGGGGGAACTTCATCTGGAATCTGAAAAATGTTCCTCTTCTGGAGAACTACCTGTGCGCCTTGGAGCAGAATCGAAACCGGGAGATTATTGAGCAGGTCATTCAGCTGTTCAAGGAAGAAGTAATGACCAAGCTCAGTCATTTTCGAGAATGTGAGCATTCCTCTAACTGCATAAATGTTTTTCTGTGTGTTCAGTCTGTAACATTCAAACCATCAAAAGAGTGTTAGAGGTACAATTTAGCTTTATCAAATCTTAAAATGTTGCCATAAGGTTTTTATTTTCCTCAAAATGGATACATTGGAAGTCCTCTTACTTAGTGTACATGATCCTACCTTTCCTCCCTGTTGAAGGAGCCCTGGTGGTGCAATGGGTTAAGCTTTGCACTGCTAACGGAAAAGCCAGCAGTTTGAACCCTCCAACAGTCTGCTTCCATTTACAGCTTCGAAACCCTATGGAGGTCTTCTCTGTCCAATAGGGTCTCTAGGAATCAGCATTGACTCTACAGCCATGGGTTTCCTCCCTACAGAACTTGCATTCAGGTTTTAACACCATGACTACATTTTTGCCCTTGCCTTTATTTTTATTTTCCTTGGATTTTTTTTTTTTTTTAACTTCTTTTTTTTAATTATTACTTTGGATCTTAACCCAAAACTAAACCCACTGCCATCAAGTCGGTTCTAACTCATAGCGACCCTGTATGGGGTTTCCAAGGCTGTAAATTTTTACGGGAGCAGACAACCTCATCTTTCCCCCACCCGTGAAGTGGTGGTGGATTTGAACTGCCGACTTTGTGGTCAGCAGTCCAATGCTTATCTGTCAACACCCTGGGCTGACAAAGAAATGAGCCACGGTGATCAGGCACTGTTGTGACGTGGCTTGCTTCTTCTCCTTTCAGGTGTCAATCATGGAGATCTTAATGACCACAACATCTTAGTCGAGCCCAGCAATTCAGCCTGTGGGGATGCTGCCTACCAGGTGTCTGGGATCTTAGACTTTGATGACATGAGCTATGGCTACTATGTGTTTGAAGTGGCCATTACTATCATGTACATGATGATAGAAAGCAAGACTCCCATACAAGTGGGAGGTCATGTCCTTGCAGGCTTTGAAAGCATCATCCCCCTGACAGCTGTAGAGAGGGGGGCTCTCTTCCTGCTGGTGTGCGGTCGCTTTTGTCAGTCGCTTGTCATGGCTGCACACTCTTGCCAGCTACACCCGGAGAACAGAGACTACCTCATGATTACTGCAAAGACTGGCTGGAAGCACCTGCAGACCATGTTTCACCTGGGCCAGAAAGCTGTAGAGGAAATCTGGTTTGAAACGGCCAAGTCCTATGAGTCTGGGATCTCCTCGTGACTAGTTAGTTCAGTGTTAACTTCAATCATCAAAAACCCAGTACGATCAAACTTAAGTTTTATGAAAGATTTCCCCACACTGATGGAACTGATAAGTTCTGAACATGACTTCGCATATGAAACCACGAAGGCCTTCAAGCAATCTCATGACCAGGCTTTAAACTGAAGAAAGCACTACATGAGCAAGTGTGCCTTCCTGTGGGTCGCACTTGCCTTCTGTATAAAATATGCATAATGCTAAAATTTTTAATCAAATCATCTTTCGCGGTACATTCTAGCCCTGAGATCAATGACTTTTTTAAACTCTGGAAAGCATGCACATGCACACACACATATTTTAAATATAACATACAGACCTAGCTAACAGACACATTGCTTAAATCTCTCCTTTCTTAAAAGACCCATTGCATTTCCTTATGACACGCTACTTTGTATGATGGATGATAGTTGTATAGTTACCCTCTAGCTAATTTGAGGGCAGAGATTATGCAAAATTTATTTTTGTCTCCCCACTCCTTCGCCTTCTTCTCACACTTAGTAGAGTGTCTTTCCCACAAATGGTTCTTTAAAAATATTTGCAGAAAGGCTGTATGTTAGAAGAAAGGCTCAAAATGATAAGACACACACATCTTCGGGAGGAACGTGCATCACATTCATAAAAGAAAAGGTTTTAACTTGCTTAAGAAGATAATAAAACCCCAGATAAAGAGGGTGCCAGAGAGAGAACCTAAAAGACACCATTCTGGAACTGCAAGGAAGCAAATAAAGATGTTTAAACAAAAACTACTAAATCGTTAGGTATCTAAATAAAATGGTTAGTTTATAGATTGATATAAAGAAATCCTCAAGTAGATTTTTAAAATTGTAAATACTATTTCTTTTGATAGGAATATGTAGTATTTTGTTAAACTCATCATATACTTAAATGAGGCTACAGTATTCCCTGTACTGATTTCTCATCCTGTCTCCCACATGTGATTCAGTCTTCTGGCTTTGACTATCCATTCTGTACAAATGACTCAACTCTACAATGCTGCTCATTCCAACACTCTCTTGGGCGTAATCCCTTTCAATAGCTCTGGAGAGACATTGATATTTTCTCTCTTCATCTCTCTTTTCCCTGACCAAATGAGGTCTCTTTTTAAAGTTTCTTTTATCTTTCAGTGGCACCATTTGTAACTCTTCTAGTTTCTTTCTCGCTGTAGAGTAACAGCAATATCTATCTCAGAGTTATCTGTGAGGATTGCCTAATGATGAAAAGTGCTTTATTAGTACATAGGACTCAATATTTACTTACATGAATTCATAATCAATGAACCATATCCCAGGCCACCCAAACTTAAAATAGTACAGTAATTTTCACTTGCTCCTCTCATATTGAATCAGTGAGCCCTGTTGATTCTTTGAATCATATAATTGTAGATTCCTAAATTTGCAGAATCATATAAATTTTGGTAACAATTCCTGCCTTACTAAATTTCTAATACTATATAATAAAAGTCAACATTTATTGGCCACTAAGCTGGTGTGGTGCTGTGGGTTAATGTACTAAGCTGCAAAGTCAGTTTGAACTGCAAGGTTGGTGGTTCAAGCACACCAGTCACTCCTTGGAAACCCTCTGCAGGGTCGCTATGGGTCGAAACCAACTCGACGGCACTTAACAACAAGTACTTCACTTGCATTATGTCATTTAATCGTCAACAACAAATCCCTATTTCCAGATGAGCAAATAAAGGCTTAACAAGTTGAAGTAATTCGCTCAAAGAGAGCCAGCTTTTAAGCCAGAGCTCTCCGATTGTTGTTGTTAAGTGCTGTTGAGTCAGTTCCGATTCATAGCAACCTTGTGTAGGGTTTCCAAGGAGTGGCTGGCAGGTTTGAACCATCAACACTGTGGCTCAAACTGACACTGTGGTCCAGCACATTATCCTGTAGTACCATACCAGGACTCCTAGAGCTCTCTGATAGAGACCATGTTTTTCACACCATAGAGTCCCGTACTACCTTCCTCTCCACATTTCCTCCCCAACACACACACAGTCATATGAAAGCACTTAAAATGCTTCAGATCTGTATGATTTTTGTTTCGCTTGACCATTCAGGAATACGAAGATCAGAAAAATGGACCAAAACTTTTCACTCAGACTGTTGAGCTGTAAGAAAAGATCAGTGCAGTTGATGTATTTTGTACACATGGAGGAAACCCCCCTGAGATCACCAACTGTGTATCACAATCCCTTAATATAGATGCTGAACACCATGGCACTGATACAACTTGTACAGTGGATTCACTCACACTTTAAACCATCTAAATATTACCCTTGCATGTTTTCTTTGTATTTGAAATCACAAAATTCTGACAACTTCAAATAATTCAAGAAGCTAAATGTTGGCTTGAAATAATAAAGCTCCTAACAGCTTTATTTAAAAAGTTGCTACTATTTTATTGTTCACGTCCAGTCTTTAATAACCTGAGGGTAACAAAGGCTCTTAAAAGTCTCAAAGGCCCATTAAATTTCTATTAACAAGCACAGAACAAAATTACAGGTTTTCTGGGAATAGTCTTTTTTCCCTTTGTCCTCCAGTTTTCCATTTTTTAACACATAGGAAATAAACAAGATCAAATAACTAGACAGTAAAAAAGACTTTTTTTAAAGAATGGTAAGATTCCACCTTTAGGCCCTTGGAAATCATAATTTGAAGGAAGCTTGACAACTGAGTTGTTAAGTGGTGGTGGTGGTGGTGGTTATGTGCCATGGAGTTGGAACCAACTCATAGCGACCCTGTACAGGGTTTCCAAGGTTGTTAGTACCAACTCATAAATCTTCAGCTCTTCCTTAGCACCAATACCACTTCGGTAATTCCTACAGGAACCAGAAGAAATGGCATTCAAAATCGATTTTGCCTTCAGACTTCTGAAATTTTAGTTAGCAGACCTATTGAGACTCTGAACATGTCCATTTATTCCATAAGAGTAAAGTTATGGAATGACAATATAGTGAATAAAGTGTAGCTTCTTCCAAAAAAAGATTAAGGGTTAAGAAAATATTTGAAGGGATACAATCTTGAAGTCAGTTCAGTTGTACCCAAATTGATATTTTAGTTGTGACGTTGTGGGCTAATGCGTCACACTGACTGCAAAGTCGTTTGAACTGCAAGGCCAGTGGTTCAAGCTCACCAGCTGCTCCTTGGAAACCCTATACAGGGTTGCTATGGGTCAGAAAAGACTCGATGGCACTTAACAACAGCAAAGGGCTTAAAGGGATGAACTTAGATAAAACTTAATTAGGAATGTTGTTAAGTGCTGTCAAGTCAATTCCGACCCATAGCAACCCTGTATAGGGTTTCCAAGGAGCAGCTGGTGAGCTTGAACCACCAACCTTGCAGTTCAAACACCTTTGCAGTCTGACGTATTAGCCCACAGCGCCACACCAGGACTCCAACTATTGATAGCTAAATTTATTTGCAGCATTTATCTTCTTACTGGACACCATGATTAGGAATCCCAGAATCAGGAGGAGATGGAAACATAACTTTTCCCAATTGAGGCTTTAGGATGCAGGAGAAAACAAAAACCAACATATTCTATTTCAGTCTTTGATTTCAACTCATAAATGAGCTCATAATTCAGGCACACCAAAAGCTACTTTTGGCCAACCTGAGTTTAGCTTTGTCACATTTTAAAAAATTCATATATAAGACAAGTGTCAGTTCAAATATAGATGACTTTTTAAGAGATTGTAAGAAAGCTGTAATGTTAATGTCTTGTGTGATATATTATCACTAGTTACAGCTGTCCACAGGCATCTTTTGTTGTAGTGTTTAGACCAAAGGTACTCAACATGGATATCCTAATTCATGTTTTAAGGGGGTCCTTAAAATGCTCCAACTCCCTTGACTAGCACTCCATAACGCCCACCTGGTCCCACTGCCTCATCTTTACTAAAAAAGTATAATGATTAGGTATACTGGCCTTTTAGGAAAGGCTTTTTGGAGATTTCTGTAAAAACTACTAGATCAGTTGGCTACTACAAGGACAAGCAAGTTGTTCGCTGAGGACCCATCTAGGCAAGCAATCAACTCCCTTCAGGACAACCGCCCTCTAAGACTGAAAATCAAAGGGATCACAAGAGAAGGCAAATAAGCTTGCTGGTAACCACGCTGGTCTACTGGTGAGTGGAAATGGGGGAAAAGCAGCAATGAAGATATGGGCTGAGTTTGACCATGTTCTATAGACCCACGTCAACCTGGAGATGAGAGAGAGAAGAGGAAGGGCTGGTTGGTCCGAAGTGTGGTGAGACGTGGGGACTCCTGAGCCCATGGACAAGGACATAGCCACGGAGGGCTAGAGCTGAGGGTGAAGCATCCAGCTGATATAAAGTGAGGGAAGATGCACAAGAACACCCAAACTTGCAGGTAATACTCATTTGACTTAGCTTCAATGGCTTAATCACAACTTGACTAGAAGAAGATTAAAATTTTTGATAAAGAAAACAAGTGTAAATTGCTACAATTTGATGAATTTGACCTATACTTACAGATGTAGTAGCTCAAAATACCAACTGAGAGGGAAGGAGTCTTCATATAAAGGATTAAACATATCCCCTCTGTACACAGGGTTGATGGGGATGAGCAACTTAGACATTGGTTACCTAAAATGGCAGGGGCTATGAAAGTACAAAAGACATTTGTTTCACTCCCTCATGAAAACTTGTACTGGCTTCCAAGTTTCCAAGAGGGAGTTTAGTTTCAGAGTGCAGGGAAAGGTAGAAACCCCACTGAATAGTTTTCATTTTGTCTAGATGGATCTGGTGAAAGGAGATGGGGACAAGATTCTTATGAATCAATAGTGAGTAATTACTATCATGACTAATTGCGATTGTCACAACTGTAAAGGTACAAGTTTTATAACATAAAGGGGGGAATAGTTAATCTTGCATTCCAGGAACAAAGGAACCTAGGACCATCAAGAGAGAAGAACATGAGCAAGACGTGACGCCCTAT